CCTCCAGTAGAAGTAAAAATTTAAATAGACCATTAATCATGAAACACTAATGTATTCTTCAGAGAAATAATTCACAATCTGCCTCTGAGTGGGAACTGTGTGCAAACAACTATGTTCAGAATTGATTCACTGTTAGATTCAGTAAATCTATTTTTAATGGCACTTGCTTTTCTCCACAAAGATGAGGAGAGAGATATCGGTGGAGATACAAATTCATAACTCCAAGTGATAAAACTTCAGGAAAGTAACACTTTTTCAGTTTCCATGGGAACTATTCTCAGAAAGGCCATCTGACTTGCATTTACACAGCATTCTGCCAAAACCCGCAGTTCCTGGCTGACTCTGTCCTGTCACTCCTCCCTGCCCACTTCCCACTTCTTTTAATAGTGCCAAGGCAGACTCTTTATTGGTTATATCAGGGAGCTGAGGTAACTGAGTAATACAGAGAATAATGCATGGCTGCTTTTTTTTTTCCATCTAAATCAGCCCCTGATCAGCTCCCCTGGCTCTTGTAAGCACAAGGAAGGTAGCAGGATGAGAGTATGGTGAGCAGGAACTGCTTTGTCACAGCCAGGGTGGCAAGATAGGTTATGGCTAAAGCTTATAAACCTGACTGGGCTAGTGATCTTGTCCTGTTAGATGCCAGACTGGTTCTAGAACTGCAAGAATCCAGTGAGAGGCTTATAGTCTGTCAGTAAACCTAGGCAGAATATAGAAAACATTTGAAGAGTGAGAAAGAATTAATAGTAACTATATAAATGCTAGATAAAGATGAAATTCTGTCTTCCTAAACTTGCTATAGCACCCACATATGTTTTGATAGATTTAAAATGATCCCTCTGAAGTGTTTATAGAACATTTATTACACTAGCTGAACATCAAAGTCTTAATGTTTTTAGCTCATATGCTATCCCATGTTATGGTGTTATAGACAAAACAGGGAGTGTAACAACAAAGAGGTCAACTGATAAAGTTGTAAACCACAGTGTTGTAAAGTACAACTTTTCTCTGTACTGACAATTAATGAAAAGAGGAAGATTGCAATCATGTTATCTCGGTGAACAAAACATTTCTTATTTCAAGACTAAAGAAATGTCAATTTTGAAGTGATATTATTACAACAGAAGGGATTTACAGGAGCAAAAATTAATCTGTTGATGAGTATCAAGAAAATTGGGTATGCTTGAACACCCAAAACCAGTCTGCAATGGAGATGCTTGTAAGACTCTAACCCCAGGAGCTGCCAGCTCACGGGTTCAGCTAAGAGTTTTACTTTAAAATATAGATATAGGGTTCTTTAATACCTCAAGATAGCATCAAGAGAATAAGCCGCAGACTTGTTCCCAAGAGGTTTCTTTATTAATTCAGAGGGGAAAATAAGGAAAGTTGGCAAAGGTTCAAAAAGGGCACTACAAAAGCTAGACAAAATATTCCACCACAATACCAACTTAGCAAAAATTAATCTACAACAAGTCAAAATCCAACCAATCTGCAACAGTTAGGTCAAAATCCAGTCCCTCCAGCTCCAGACCACCCTAAGCATCAAGAAAGGGAACTTGCCACGAAGGATAAGATGCCACCCCAGCTCCGTGAGGATCGACCTATTCCTTCCCCCTCCGCAGACATACGCGAATGCACACACATACATACTCTCCCCTCAAGGTGGTTCCGACCCAATAAATACTGATGTGGTGTCTAACAACATTATAACTAACCAGGCATAACACTCGTAAACCTATTTCAATGAAATGGACTAGAAATATCTAGGGAAATGGCATGAGTATGGTAAAAAGCAAATCCTAAAGGGTTCTGACATATTGATAAGTCTCACCCCATGATAGTTTTAATAAAGGTCAAACAGATAAGATCATAACGCTCTGAGAAAAATATATGCAAAGCAATGAGACCTAGCTAAGAAAACTACCATTAGCTTATGCACGACATGAGGGAGGCACAAATTTCCCCATCAAAATAAATACTAAAACTTTGCAGGGCTTAGTTTCATTAAATCACAAATAGGAAGAAAAAAACTACTTTGGAACTGCCTGGAACCAAAAGAGAAATTACAGTGTCTCCTTGTTTTGTTTTAGGCTTTTTTTAAAATCTTGATAAAATTAAACTTTACAATATTTTGAACATCTGCACAATTAAGTGAGTGGTGATCTATTTTGCCACTTCAATCACATGAAGGATATTTTGTATGCTGAGCTTGGAAAAAATGTAATTATATTTTCCTCTCTGGCTCCCCCCACTCCTCTTGAATTCAGTCCCTGTGAATAAAATGCAGTCAAATACTTTCTCTTAAAACACCATTGGATGATCACTGAAATAAAAATTAAAACTCTCATATTTTCTTTTAAAAGCTCTTTCCTGAAAATATCCTCTGAACATGACTGTACAGGTAAATTTCTAAAAAAATATTTTAAAAAAAAATTAATAAAGCCCTCTAACTCAAATACCTACATCTGTTTTCCATTAAAGCCACATATACTGGTCTTTAAATTCTGGTTTTGAGCTGCACATAGCAAGGACTTTATTTTTCATGTTATAGAAGAAGAAACACAGGCTTAAAATTTCTTTCAAGTTTGGTGTTTATACAGAATTTTGACGCTGTATTATTCTGAGCAAGCCATAAATGCTTTCATATATACTTCTTTGCTGTTCTGCATTGTGCCCTCTTTATTGTTTGCTTTATTTATATGCTCTAGGAATCCTTAGAGATGTATCACTACCTTTTCAGTTAAACTCATGAAATTACTTGATAATCATATCTTGATGCACATATCAAATCTGTCTATCCTTGTTTTCCCTATATCTTGCTTAGATATATAACTGAGCAAACGTGGAAAATGAAGATGTTAATGCATCCTACAGGTAGTGCTTTCCTTTCAGAAGTGAACTCGAAGTTATTCTTAAAAAAAAAAAAACAAACAAAGAAAAGATTTCTTGAAATTTCAAATAACAGTCTTGAGTAGAGCAGCTTTGATTGATTATTAGACCTAATAATTGATTATTAGACCTGGATACACAGTCCAGGATATGAGACCATGCAATGCTTATTCTTCAATGCAAATAAAGGGAAATTGCTCATTTTTTCTGCAAGCATTGCAGAAAAAATTCAGCTTTTCTTAACAAATTCTCATCACAAAAAGCACTCATCAATAAAAGCATCATTCTTCTAAAGATTTCAAAGTAAATGTTTGTAAATGTTGTCCTGATTTTCAAGAAGGGCAAGGAGAAGGACCCCAGAAAATACAGCCTATTAGTCTTGCTTCAGTGTCTGGTAAAGTTATGGAGAAAATTATTCTGGGAGGTATTGAAAAACACCTGAAAGACAACGCAGTCATTGGCCAGAGCTTCATGAAAGGAAAGTCCTGCGTATCAAACCTGATTTCATGCTATTAAAAAGTAACCCACTTAGCTGATCAAGGAAAGCCAGTTGATGCAATATTTTTGGATTTCAGTAAAGCTTTCAATATTGTCTCTTACAAGATCCTTCTGGACAAAATGTCCAGCACACATCTGGATAAACACATCATGTGGTGGGTGAGCAATTGGCTCGTGGGTCAAGCACAGAGGGTACTTGAATGGGGTGACATCAGACAGGCAACCTGTCACTAGTGGGGTTCCACAGGGCTCCATCTTAGGCCCTGTGGTCTTCAACATCTTCATAAATGACTTGGATGCAGGACTGGAAGAGATACTAAGCAAGTCTGAAGATGACACAAAACTGGGAGGAGCTGTTGACTCCTTTGAAGGCAGGAAGTCCCTGCAGAGAGACTCCAACAAATTAAAGAACTGAGCAATCACCAACCATACGAAGTTCAACAAGGGAAAGTGCTGGATTCTGCACCTGGAATGGGGTAACCCTGGATGTATGGACAGTCTGGGGAATGAGATGCTGGAAAGTAGCGTCATGAAAAGGGACCTAGGGGTCCTGTTTGATGGCAAGTTGAATGTGAGTCAGCAGCCAGGCAGCCCTGGCAGCCAGGAGCACCAACTATGTCTTGGGGCATCAGGTAAAGCATCACCAGTCAGTCAAGGGAGGTGATTGCCCCACTCTGCTCTGCACTGGTGTGGCCTCACCTTGAATATTGTGTGCAGTTTTGGTCACCACAACATAAGAAAGATATTAAGCTATTAGAGAGCACCACAATATAAGAAAGATATTAAGCTATTAGAGAGCATCCAAAGGAGTGCAATGAAGATGGTGAAGGGCCTTGAAGGGACGCCGTGTGAAGAGTGGCTGAGGTCATTTTGTCTGTTCATCCTGAAGAAGAGGAGATTGAGGGGAGACCTCATCACAGTCTACAACTTCCTTGCGAGGGGAAGAGGAGGGGCAGGTGCTGATCCCTTCTCTGTGGTGACCAGTGATAGGACAAGAGGGAATGGCCTGAAGTTGTGTCAAGGGAGGTTGAGATTGGCTATTAGAAACTGTATTTCTTTCATCATTCTTTTACAATTGAGAATAGCCTTTGATGTTTCATCTCCTCAGCTCCTCAGTAAGTTCTTTTGTAACTAACAAAATGTAGCACATTTCTTTCTGAGTAGCAAGGCTGTAAAGCAAGCTTATTTTAAAAAAGAAGAAAACAATGAAAGTTATGCAGATAAATTAATCAATCCTAGTGTATTAGAGAATATTAAATGGCCTGCCAACACAAAATTCTCCAGCATTCAGTTTCAGTAAAGTTCAAGACGTAAATGTCAAGGAATAAAAATAATTCTTCACAAACATAGAATGTATAGAACTGTATCTAGGTGAACAGTCATCAACTATGACAATTTTGGATCCATTTGTAGGAAGAGATGAGGTGAGATGACAATGAGGTGAATTTAAGAAAAAAAATACCACAAAAACTAATTCTGTTGGAAACAGTGTAATGTTGCATCTCACTTCTTAAAATATACCAATCACAATGATAGAATTGAGGGGAGAAGCAACTTGATCCACTGAAAACAGATCAGAGTATCTGATGGTTCTTCTGCTTTGTGTTCCTTGCTGATACAAAGCTTTAGAGAAGTTTTTCTGTCCATAGTGCTTGAGCAGAGTTTATTGAGCCCAGAATTCTTCTCTAATGAGAAGAGAGGAGGTTTGAGGCAGAGCAAAAGAGCTTGGCTTTATTGATTTATTATATAAAAGTAGCTGGGACAAAAAGTCTTCCTTTGGTGCATTCAGCTTTCCACTGCCAAAACTTTTGCTGATCTTGCTCTTGACATGTTCACCTTTTGTAACTTCTGACTCCTTCCATTTGGATCCTTTCTTCCAGATACTTTCTCATGCATTCTTGCTCTCCTCTCATCCGCTTCCTCTTCAGACACCATTGACCCTACAAGATACCAATTCTTGCTGCACCTGTATAAACAACAAGGGGAAGTCAGCTCCTCCTGCCCCTCAAATACCCTCAGAAAATGTAAGGCAAATCTTCAGATTCAGTAACTAGGATTTTTGATAGTACACCACTTCTAGGTAAATGGATTTCTGATGAAAGATACTAAATGTAGTATCTACAGAATATGCCATATAGTGACCCCTAAATAAATTTTAACACAGTTTTGGGAGTTGTACCTACTCACATATTAATCTGATCACTTTCAAAAGGATAACCTTATAATAAAATACATCAGGTTCCATTATACTGCTGTTCTTTTTCAGCAAGACCATTCAAATAGTAACAAGTGCTCAAAAGAATTATTAGGTGAAGAGAGACTCACTCTTACATAAGGAGATGAGAAGGTGTGGTACTGTGTTCCCCTGCCCTGATTTCTGCTTAAGCAACAGCTGCTGGTCCTGATGGCTGCATCTGGCTTAAATTGAATTCTGAAGAGACAGATAACACAATAGCTGAGGGCTATAAATATTACTCAGGTGCTGAGGGCTAGTTGAGCAAGCGCCATCTGAAATATGACTGGTGTGTAAATGTGACTATAAGTCAGTCATCTTGTTTCATAAATAGTGAACAGCCCAGAGCCCACTGAGCTCTCCTGCATGGTGGCAGGCTGTATGCCAGGATCTCCTCTTGAGTAGGGATGCCTCTTAAGATTACTTCTTATTGTGTCAAGTAACTGAATAAATGACTTGGAAATAATTGCACTGAAATTTTGAAATCTTAGCTAACTTATATAAAGAATACATAATCCTTAGATATAAACTTTTGACAAAGTTGGCACTAAATCTGGATTCAGCCGCACCTAGTCTCCACTCTGGGAAAGACTTTAGAACTCAGGGGTGTCCTTTCTGAACCTCATGTTTCATGAGGAGGGTCTCCCTAACAGTTTTATGTTCTATGCAGTAAATAATCAAGTGTACCTTGCCATGGAATCTTGTTAAGCCATTAACCAATTTGCCATTGTTAACTCAGTGTCTTATATTTATAAAATATATTTTAGCTTCTCTCTGATAAGTAAAGTGCATCACTGTTTCCATGACAGAAAGGGTTGGCATAACTTCTCAAACAACAGTTTAGAGACAGGCCACAGGCAGGCACATCTACAAGATAGCTCAGTCTCCAGGTTGAGCCGAAATGGGCTCCTGGGCCCATGGGTAGGGGTGCAGGGAGGCTGAAGGGGAGAATAGTCTTAGTCAGTAAAGCCTGTTAGACCTGAGAGTTTGTAGGGGGAAAAAAACCAAACCAAACCAAAACTATCAAAAAATCAATCAGTTCTTTCCATACAGAAGATGCCATTTCCATATCAAATTACCTTAGCACAGTCACTATTGGCTCATTTTTCCTAACTCACCACCTTTTTCTGTGCAAAAAGCAAGGAGGAAAGCCCCCAGATGTGCTGGGGGCAGGCAAAGGAGGAAATGCATGGACCATGTACTTCATCTGTTTTATCAGAGTATGAATTAGCTTTACTGTTTTCTACCTTTGTAGGATGGGAGGTGTAGTTTCACAAAAAGGGACATACACAGGCAAATTTTCCATGCCTTTTTCCTGAGTGTGATTTTATGGAGTAAATATGAAGTTCAGAGAACTTAGTAGCAATGATATCAAATGAGTGGACTTCAGAAAGTGCTCTTCTACAACTTGTTAGGTAATGAATCTCTTACCTTCTCTGGTTAATTCAGATCATAACAGTCATTAGGCTTGAAATAAGTTGCAAAGGAAATACCTCATAGAATTGCGTTATAGCTCAGTCAGTGACAGTTTTGGAGAGATTAGATTATGCTTGAGAGCGCAGAATTTTATCTTTGTTTCCTTAAAAGTTATTCTCCTCCAAATAAGTTAAACCTTTTTGGTCTCTGTCTTTACACTGTCCATCTTATCTTACACTCGGTAAAACTAGAGATTGGGAAGTACTTTTCTCTTTTTGTCACTCCTTCAGCATAATTTCTCTTAGAAAGGCATAAGAAAGGGTCCAAAAAGTGGAGAGAGATCTTCATTACGTTGTATATTTTCAGAGTAGCAGGTGCCATCCCTCAAAAAGAAGGATCCTCTTAAACTCTGTCTGCACCTACTGTTAGCTCTCATGTTTACTAAACTGAGTAATTTGATACCACCAGCATCACCTCACTATTTGCCTTCCTTTCCAGATGATTCATACAAACATTTAATACAAACCTTGGTTGTAGCACAGATATCTGTAAACACCCTTTTATAAAAATTGATCATCTGCTCCTACTATCCATATCAATCTCTTAACTAATTACTTATCCTGCAAGATCTTTCCTTAGATAACTGATGAATGAACTTGCTAAGTACTTTTATAAACTCAAAGATTGTATCAAATGACCCTACCTTGTCCATGTACTCCCTGACTGAATTCTGGGGTCTGACCTCACAGCTAATCCTTCTGTGAGCAGGAGAAGAACTTCAGCAGTATTATGACCCAGAACTATCCAGTCTAGAAATCATGTTGACTATTCCTCAATTTGTTGTATTTATACAAGAGTCTACTAAGTACATTAGTAATGTAAAAGCATCAGTCTTACTTGTTTGTGGTTTCACAGGTGGCCCTGTAAAAGAATTTCCACATTTTTCATTCTCCAGTCCTGTCATGACAGAAAGACTGCTCTGTAGACTAAATACGCACACCATAGCCAGAAGTTACAGACCACTCCTATTTTCTCAAGTAGTCTTTGTTTGAATTCCTTAAGAATTCCTTTAAATATAATATCTTCTTCTTGTTACTGCTCATTTTACCTTTTTCCCATACCCTCTTTCATAGACGTTCTGACTTGAGATAAATAATGACAAAATTTTCAGGCTGCAACTAAAATTTGAGTTTGCATACTTGACTCATATTTTGTAATATCCTCTACATCACATCACTTGTTTTTAGTTTGTTGTGTTGTTTTGGGGATGATTTTTTGGTGTTTTTTTCCCTCAATGTTACTTGTTACTTGGTATCCCATTGTTCTTGATCCACAAACTTTCCCTCTGAAAGCTACTTTTTCTTTTTAGCATAGATTCCATGTACCAACACGAGTATTATAGTTCCAAAGAAGTCCTAAACTCCTTTTTTTCCTGTTTTTTTTTACATGTGGTACATATGTTCCCTAGTACCTGGGGTGAAATTTGACTTTTTATTACCATAGAATACTTTCATACTAATATTTTGTTTTGTCCAATTACTTGTGAAATACAATTGATAGGTATTATTACTAAAACTTCTATTCTGCTGTTGGCTTGAAAGCCTAACAACTGTCTCTGGTTTTCTGTGTTACAAGTCTTGGTGTCCATGTCCAAGGAGCTACAAGAATGTATAGGGCTTGTTAATTAATTATAATGATTCTTTCTGCTACTAAAAGTTAGCAGAGGATACTCACACTAGGATTTATTATTCATACTACATTTTACTGATAGGAATGCTTGTTATGTTAGCAATCCATTTAGTAGGAAAGAACTTAAGAAAAAGTTATTATTAAGGTGTCTTCAGTCATTCAATTTTTCATAGTATTTCTTGGTTACAGATTTTTTTTTGTTCCTATGTTACCATATCTATTCATGATCTTCTTCTAGGCTTCACAGACTGCTGTATTTCTCTTATTAATTTCCCTTGTATCTTTGTTTTTATAGACCATTGAGAAACAGATCTTGAGATCCATGTGTACAGATTCATGTGTACTACGAATGTACATAGGCAATTTGACTTTAGATTCAGTCAACAGCAGACAGCACTGAGAAGAGAGGAGGTGCTTGTGAGATCTAATGGGATTTTAACATACTCATCTGAGAATATTTTTATATGTGACTATAAGATTTAACTCTGTAGCACTCCTCTCACTGAGCATCTCTCCCTTGTTCTTGGATTTCAGCATCAAAATAAGTTTCAGAATGAAGTTTTCTGAATTTTCTAGGTAGCAAACAAACAATGTAAAACTAAGAACAACTAATTGTTATGCCGTCCCAGAAAAAGATAGGCCACATAACCACTTAACATGGTTAGCACTGAAATGGAAAAAAATGAAAACAAAACCAAACATACAAAACCCCAAAAAACCAACTCCTAACATTAATTATGAAATTAACTACGAAAATGGACCTTGACTTCCTAATTTTTTATAGTAATGTCATAGCATGAACTGAATTAATGTGATTTCATCCCTTGAAAACAAGAAGAGATGCAGAAATATTCCTTAATGTGAAAAACGTACATAGGAAGAACAAAATAATCTGTCTTGTTCTCTTTTTGGCAAGCAGTTACTGGCTTTGATCAATGCTAGGAAACAAAATGAGTAAAAGCTATTACATTTTTATTCTCTATTCTGTTAAATTGATGAAAATACATATTTCATCTTCTTTACATCTGGTACAATTATGTTTTTACAAGAGCTCCAGGAATGCTGTCAAAAGATGACAGAAGTACTTAATCTTTGGCAATTTAGGATGTGAATATTTTGATAGCCTTTTTTCAGACCAGATTTTACAGTTAAATGTGTGAAAAATATGCTTTTTTTCACATATTTTATTTCCAATTTCTGTGGGTTGTAGGTTCAAGCCTGTAATGCTTTAAATAACTGCTAAAATCCACAGAACCCTTCTACATGCATACAACTCGAAGCAAATGTTTGATCTCTATTTGAAATTAAAATTGAGAATATGTTGAAGAACTCGAATGTATGTGGTAGCAGAAGGCTGTTGTAAAGAATTCTCTACTTAGGAGGCACCCAGAGGCCATATTTGTGACCGCAGTAACTCAGCAACAGAAGTGAGAGTCTGAGCTAGACATTGTCTTCTTTGGATCACTAAGATTTACTTTCCCAGGGTACTGTGCTTCATTTCTGTAGTAGCGGGTTATCAGTCCATGATTCATTAAAATCTGAGCTGCAGCTACTATTATTCATATTTGTTTGATATCTGTTTATTAATGATTTCTAATACCATAAAACTTGAATTTGATTGGTTTCTTCTCAATTCCTACAGTTCTAAAAGAAAAATTGTGTGTTTACCCATAACTTTCATTCTTCAGCTCATTACAGAGAATTACAGAGATCATAGAAGAAAAGTTCGACACACTCTTTTACATAAACACTATTAAAAAATGTACCAACATGAAAGACTGTTTTCGTTACTTGAATAAGAGTGATTTAAAGATCTTCAGTAATACCCTAAAGTGCCTGTAAGTCAAACTTATGTCCTGGGGCAGGGGTGTAAAGTTAACCTGTTTTCTGAGATGTCCAAGTGAATTCAACAGCCATTATGGAGGGATGCAGTTGAACAATATATACAATCTCTGTTGTAGGGGTTAATAGAAAATAAATAATTTATTGCACTATTCCTGCTGGATGAGTCCCAATGTGTTGAATTACACTCACTTTTGGTTTTAATTAGTGCTGTTAAACCAAATTCTACTTCCAGTTGTCCAAGCACAATGAACTGAATTCAAGTTCATGTATTCAAACTGAACTAAGTGGTACAATGAGGAAAACAGTCTTCTTTGGACGTGGCCAAATGTGAATTATCTTCCTAATCTCCTTGCTTTGATGGCCTTTCTGGTCTATATTTTGTAGAACTAAACACAACTTTCTAAGTAGCAGTTTCATTTGACCAAGAAATAAATACATTTGTGCTTCTGCAATTCACTGTTGCGGGAGGGTGGGTGCTAATGTAGTTAGAATATTAATAAAAATAATAATTATTTGAAGTAACTAATATCTGAAAGCATAAAATTTTAATTTAAAGTAACAAAAGTTATGTTGGCTCAAAATCATAGGAGTTTTCTGCTTGAAAATAAAGATTTGAAAGAATCCAAACCTTTATTTGAAGTGTATATTGATGTTTCTTTTGATAGAAAGTTATAAGAGAAATGTTTTCAAAATGCCTGTTCTACACTGTGACTATATTTTATAGCATATATGAACAAATGCATCTAAAAAAAAGTAAACAACCAAACATATGAGATAATGTCCAAACATTTTGGAATATTATATCTGATGGAAAAATTCAGGAATTTGTCTCTGTTTCTTGCATGTCTTCCAAGTAGTGTCTAGGTTAAGGTGTTGTTTTTTTAAATTATCACCTTTGTTATGTAGTGTTGTTATATAGCTTGTTAGATATCCATTTAAGAGCTTTGATCTGAACTTGAATCTTTGGGGTAAAAATGTCTTCCTTTATGTTTTGAACTGGCTACTCAGTTTGTATTCCCATTTTAAAAACTTTCTATAAAAAGTTTTGTTTGCAAAATAAACACAGAAGAAATAATAAGTGTCCAAACTTTCTTACATGTAAAAAAATTATAGATCTAAACATAAAAATGTTCACATTGTGTCCAGTTTTTGCTTGGGTGAAAAGTATTTTCAAGAAAAGAAAGAAAAATGAATTGTTTTAAAAAAGGAAGAATACAGGGTTAAGCAAAGTATAAGGTGTTCCTTATTTTCATTGTCATTAAGAGCAAATGCAAAAAAAATTTTTATAGCTGCACTTTCTCTGTCATGAGATCTCGTTAGGCTTTTTTTTCCAAAATATATAGGTGTTTTTAGTATTAGAAACGTTTCCAATAGACTCTCATCTAGAGATTTTCCTTTTGGATAAATTCAGCATATTGAATGTTTCAAATTTTTCAGTGTACAACCTTTTTTTTTTTTTTGGTCTCTGTATTTAAAGAAATTCTGTCTCTTTTCTAAATCTTTAGAATATTATAACATTCTTTTGAAGTTTGAATACTTAAATTGGTGATGGTGTTTCCATGTTTACATCTCAACTGTGTAAATTGCATAAACTACCATCTTAAGATTGTTCCAAGATTGCATATATTTTCCTAGAAATATGAGCTGTCTTGACCAGAACATGCCCCTGAGAAGCCCTGTTCAATTATTTATGAACACCTTCACCCTTACCTTTTCAAAGTCACATTTAAATTACTTATACTGTAGATCTGGTCTGTGTGTCTTATTTCTAGATGGACGACTTCACCTGTAGCAATATTCAAATTAAGTTTTATACATCATATTATCTATTCTGTCTTAATAAAATATTTATGTTGATGACTTTTCTGTGGACTTCAAAAGCAAAGCTGGAAGCATAGCTTGCTGAAACACTGGCATCATTAATCTCATAATTAATCTTTAGAAAATCAAATTCAAGTGGCTAGAACTCCTATGTTTTCCCTGGAAGATCCTGAGGAGAAGGGCTTAACATATCCCTTCCATGCTATAGGTTTTGGATATGGCAACAGACATTGGAGTAACAGATTTTGGGGAGGGGAAATCTCTAAATAACAATACAGTAACAAGTAC